GGTGCAGCGAGAAAGGCTAACGGCAAACTGTCCACGTGGGCATCCACCCCAGCAAGGTGGTGATCACCATGCTAAAGCTGGACAAGGACCGCAAAAAGATCCTGGAAAGGAAAGCCAAGTCTTGACCAGTAGGAAAGGAGAAGGGCAAATACAAGGAGGAAATGATGGAGAAGATGCAGTAGAGGCATCTCAGACAGTTTTCATTAAAGACTGCTTAAGTAGCATGTGTGTGCGTGCACGCACGCGCGCGCACACACGCGTACACACACACACACATACACACACACACACACACACACACACACACACACAAAGAATCAATCTACCTCAAGACCCAGCTATACCACTCCTGGGCATACACGCAAAGGACATTTAATCCTACCACAAGGACACTTACTCAACTATGTTCAAAGCAGCTTTATTCATAATAGTCAGAAACTTGAAACAACCTATATGCCCCTCATTGGAAGGATGGATAAAGAAAGTGTGGTACATTTATACAATGGAGTATTACTTAGCTGTTAAAAACAAAGACATCATGAAATTTGCAGGCTAATGGATGGAACTAGAAAAAAAAATCATCCTAAGTTAGATAGCCCAGACCCAGAATGACAAACATGATATGTACTTACTTATAAGTAAACATCAGCTGTAAAGGAAAAAATAATTATGCTACAGTTCACAGGCCTAGAGAGTCTAAGGAATGAGGGCTTCAGGGCGACACAAGGATCTCCCTGGGAAGGGAAATAGAACAGATTTCAAGGGTGGACTGGGGGTGGCTGAGGAACACGGAGCCTGAACTGGCCATCTTTTTTTTTTTTTTTTTTTTTTTTGGTTTTTCGAGACAGGGTTTCTCTGTGGTTTTGGAGCCTGTCCTGGAACTAGCTCTTGTAGACCAGGCTGGTCTCGAACTCACAGAGATCCGCCTGCCTCTGCCTCCCAAGTGCTGTGATTAAAGGCGTGTGCCACCACCGCCAGGCCTGGCCATCTTCTGTAACCAGGCAATGCCTCAAGGATTGGAACACCAACCCTGCCATAGAACCTCCGACCTACTGTTTGTCCTGCCTGCAGATTGTTCTGGGGCCAGAGCCTAGAAGGATCGTCATCAAGACCAGAGAGACTTCATCCACACTGATGGGAGCGGATGCAAAGTCCAGCAGCCACACATTAGGCAGAGCTCAGGGATCCTGTGGCGGAGGGGGAGGAAGAATGGAGGAATCAGAGGAACAGGGACACCATGAGAACATGGCCCACAGAATCAACTGACTGGGTCTGGGGGGGAGGGCTCACAGAGATCAGGGAGCCTGCAGAGGTCTCGTGTAGGTCCCCCGCATGCATGCTAACTGCTGAGCAGCTCCATGTTCTTGTGGGATTCCCAACAGTGGGAACAGGGGCTCTCTATGACTTTTGCCTGCTTTAGGGACCCTTTTCCTCCTACTGGGTTGCTTTGTCCAGCCTTAATGAGGTGGTTTGTGCCTGGTCTTATTGTAGCATGTTACTCAATGTCTTGTTGATATCCCTGGAAGGCCTGCTCTTTTCTGAGGAGAAATGGAAGGGGGGTAGATATGGGAAAGAAGGGAGGTAGGGGAGGGGAAGAAGGAAAAACTGCAGTCAGGATGGAAGAATTAAAAAAAAAAGAATTCAAGGCTAGCTTCAATGACATAAAAAGTTCAAAGCTAGCATGGGCTATAAGGGACCAAGTCATTCAAAAAAGGAGAAGGGGCAGGAAGAGAGGGATGATGTAATGGGAGGGAGGGAGGAAAAGAAGGAGGGGGAGAAAGGAAGGAGATAGCAAGACGGAGAGTTATCGTAGTCCCTTGCTTTGTTTCTGTCATCAACTACGACAGACTACACCATCTACCAACAACAGAAGACACTGTTTGGGTCATGGCTCTGGAGGACAGGAATTCCTAGAACATGGTATCAGCATCAGGCAAGGGGCTTCACACTGCACTATAACATGCGGAGAGCAAGAAACAGGAAAGGAGACAGAGAAACTCAGGATGCATCTGTGGAGAACGCAGCGGTCGGGTGACTCCATCAGCACACTCACGAGGGTTGTACCCCTGAGAGTGAATCGTCCCCATCATCTCCCAAGGGTCTGTCCTCCTCTCAATAGCAGTTTAAGTAGCAGTTTAAATTTGACATGTGTGTCAAAGGCAACATCCACACCATAGTATATCAGAAGAACTTTGGCATCACCTTGGGGAGGTTCCCAGTGACCAAAACAAAATAGATGGTCCAAGCATCAAAATTTACTTCAGCTGCCAACACCTGAGCGCATGGCATGCATTCAATTATGAGCTCGTGGTGTGTACACGGGAATCTTCACGGGCTCCCTTGAAGAGGCTAGGACACCAACACTATCTGAAAGTTGGCAAAAGGAAACATTTATCCAGCTTCTCCGGGGAATTGCATCTCTGGATAACAAAGAGTTAACGTGGAAACCATGTTAGATTTTTGTTTGTTTGTTTGTTTTGTTTTCTATCCCAGTGTCAAGCCCTGAGAGAGCCCCATGTCTAGGATTTATTCTGGCTCTGGGTTTCTGTGGCTTCTGTCTCTCTAGTGAGACAGTCAACTGTGAAGCTCCTAAGACAGGAGAGGATACCTGTGCTGTGAGGTCCCCAGACCCCACTCAGACCATTAGACTACAGGATGGTGTCACCCACATTCTAGGTGTGTGGTCCCCCCAAAATCCTCTCTGGAAATGCCTTTACAGACACACCCTAAGCAGTGCTGTACTGACATAGGTGCTGCTCAACTCAGTCAAGTGGATACATTAATCACTAGAGAAAGGGTTTCTCCCACCCCCAGTGCCGAACCCAGGGTCTCAAGCAAGCCAGGCATGCGCTCTTCTACCCACTTATATATAACCAGCCTGAAAAGTTTTCTTTCTTTCTTTCTTTCTTTTTTTTCTTTCTTTCTTTCTTTCTTTTTTTTTTTTTTTGAGGCAGTATCTCAATATACAGCCTAGGTTAGTTCCCAACTCAAAATCCTCCTGCCTCTGTGTCCTGAGTGCTGGTATTCTAGCTGTGCACCACTATGCTCCAATTCTTATAGCTTCTTAAAATAATAATAACAACAATAACAACAACAACAATAAATAATAATAATAGTAATAATAATAATAGAGCCTGGAGAGAAGGCTCAACAGTTATAAGCACTGGCTGTTCATCCAGAGGACCAGGGTTCAGTTCCCAGCACCCACATGGGGCTCACAACTGTCTGTTACCACAGTTCCAGGGAATCCAGTGCCCTCTTCTGGCCTCCTTGAGTACAGACATGTACACTGCACACTGATAAGCACGCAGGTAAGACATGCATACACATAAAATAATAAAAATTGTTAACTAATAATGAAAAAAGATGGAGAATCAGACAAGAGATTTTTAAAGATTAAGAACTATTTCAGGAGCAAAGTAAGGATCTCATTTAGATTTTGATTAAAATAGACAATTTTGAAAATCCAACATAAAGAAAAAAGTGAACAGCTAGATACTCAATATTAAAATCATTGTTTGGTTTGATTTGGCTTGATTTCTAAAATAAATTCCTGCTATGTAGCCTAAACTGGCCTCAAACTCATGATCCTCCTGCCTCTACCTCCTATTTACTGGTTAAGGTAAGTATTTATCTGACTTTTACTTTTGTTTTTAATTTTATTTCTATCATTGTATGCATGTATGGTGTGAGAGCACACACGTCAAGACACATGTAGAGGTCGGAGGACAAGAGCTATTCTCTCCTTCCACTTGACATCCAGGTATCAAACTCGGGTCACCAAGGTTTTTGAAGAAAACACTACTGAGCATCTTGTCAGCCCTATCATTAGTTTTTAAAGGCACAACAATGACACTATGACTTTGTTTTAATGGAGAATCCTTATTTTTATCAGTAATATACTGAAATATTTATTGATAAAATAATGACATAGATATGCACCAAGTAACTGGGGGAGGGGACAGAATGGATGAAACAAGATTGGCCATGGATTGCCCCTGGGAGCATTTATAGGCACAGAAGGTATCTGCAAGCAGCGAGATAGAAGGTTGTGTGTGTGTGTGTGTGTGTGTGTGTGTGTGAGAGAGAGAGAGAGAGAGAGAGAGAGAGAGAGAGAGAGATGACAATAATCTTCCTCCCACCCGCATCAGCATCAACTTTTAAAGACGGGTGCCATCACCCAGTGAGCTAGAAACCTAAGGGAGCACTGGCTGCAGCAGTTTCCCCCACGGGGTTTGCTATCGCACCTCCCAAACTAGCTAACATTCTCTCTTTCGTTAGTCCTGCCCTAGTTCAGTCTCTAGCCCCAGCAGACGGAACCACCACACGGCCTCCTTCCAAAACATTCTCCCTCACTACAACCAGCTCTTCGGCCCGAGATTACTGTCACCAACATTAATATTACCTCAAATATGAATACAGTGTCGGTTAAGCTTACTATGAAGGGGGTGATTATTCTATAGACACACATTTCGAGTGTCTCTAGACCCTGCACGAACTACAGAAAACCAATTCCCTCCAGGCATGGTAGCACATACTTGGAATCCCACTACAGGAGGAGTCTTCATGAGTTCAAAGCCGGGCCCAATCTCTACCCAAAAGATCACCAACAGGTTCTCAATTAACTCTCATGTAATGTGAAGAGTATGTTTTTGCTGAGACCAAGGTCCCCGGAAAACTGAACAAGCATCGACCTACCCCACTGTCTCTGGAACATGGCTCTATTCTCTCTCCAAACCTGCGCGATTCTTGCCCTTATACGGTGCACTACCCCCTCAAGTCCGCCTTGCACCGTCACAGCCTCTCCCGCCGCGCTCCACGCCGCCGCGAGGTGGCAGGAGACCCACGGCTGCAGGCCTGGAGACAGCCGCCGGGGTGCAGTGACGTCACGCAACCCCGGCGCTGATTGGCCAGTTCCCCGACGACCTTGAGGGGGAGGAGCCCGTGGCCGAGCCGGAAACGTGGGGCGCAGCGAAAGCCACGTCCCGAGACTGGGCGTGCGCACGCCGAGAAGCCCAACGGCTGTGGGAGCCTCTGCACCTCCTCCCCTGGCCTGAGGGGGCACACTCGCTGCTCCGCGACCCGGGGCGCCACCTGCTGAAGGGGTCACACGGCCGCGGGCTGGGCGATCGCGAGGGGAGGAGTCACCTTGAGAGGAGGGACACAGTGGCGAGCCGAGAGCCCCGGAGAGGGCTCGCTTAGCGAGAGGAACACAAAGAAGAGGGGTGCAGCGTCGAGGGGCTCGGGGCACACACGGAGGTGGCAGTGTCATCCCCAGGAAAGGTCCCCCTGAAGGACAGCGGCCTCCGAGGAGCGGGATCTCGCCGAGGGGTGGGCTCTGGCGGAGGGAGGGGCTCCCCTGCAGGTGGAGGCTGCTCTTGGAGAGGGTCATTAGGACAAAGAAGTAAGGGGGTGTTCAGCGGGAGGAACCCCGGAATCTGAACTTCCCTTAGGGGAATCGGGATGGAGTGAGGAGGGGTCGGGGCAGGGCAGGGATGCGGCCAGAGGCTCCCTACACCGCCGACCACGGCCGCCCGAGAGGACAGGTGTTAGCGAGCCCCGAGATTAAGGGTGTCGGGGTCCGAAGACCCTAGAAATGGGCAGTCGGGGTGGGACGCAGGCCAGGCAGGCAGCGGGCTTGATCGGTGCAGCCCAGGGCGGAGGCCGCCCCGCGCCCGCCGTCCAACCCTAAGACCCCCCCGTTCTTCACGCCCGGCCTACGCGCGAGTGCGTACCTGAGGGGGCGTGGCCGGGGCGCAGCCGGGGCTCCGAGGAGTTAAACGCAAACCGGGCCCAGCCCCGCCCCGGGCAGGCCGCGCAGCCTGAGCCCGGCGGCGAAGCGGAGCAGCAGCCGCCCGCCCGCCTCCGCCCGCGGGGAGCCCGCCCGCCGGCGCCCCGGAGCGCCGCCGCCGCCCGGCCCAGGCCCAGGCCCCGTGCAGAGCGGAGAGCCGCGGCGTTCCACCGGGCCCAGCTCGCCAGCGCGGCGGGGGCGGGCCCAGGACCTTCGGCAGGTCCTCCGTCCTCCAGGCGGGAGTCCCGGCACCCGGGATCGGACTGGGCCGGCGCCCATGGCGAGCGCGGCCTGCCCGGGTCCCGGGGACCCGGCCATGTGAAGCAGGCCTGGGCTGGGGGCCCGGCCATGGCCGGGGAACGGCCCCCACTGCGGGGCCCCGGGCCGGGAGAGGCGCCGGGGGAGGGGCCGGGGGGCGCAGGCGGAGGCCCGGGCAGGGGCCGGCCCTCCTCCTACCGGGCCCTCCGCAGCGCCGTGTCCAGCCTGGCGCGTGTGGACGATTTCGACTGCGCAGAGAAGATCGGGGCCGGTTTCTTCTCTGAGGTCTACAAGGTAGGACCCACAGACGAGAGGGTAGAGGGGCGGGACCGAGCCTTCGACGGGAGGCTAGAACTTGGAGGCCCACAGCCTGGGTTAGAGATCCAGTACTTGAGCTAGCCACCCAACTTGCCCGGCACACACCGATCCTTGCCGCCCCCAGGTTCGGCACCGACAGTCGGGGCAAGTCATGGTGCTGAAGATGAACAAGCTCCCCAGTAACCGGAGCAACACGCTAAGGGAGGTGCAGCTGATGAACCGGCTCCGGCACCCTAACATCCTCAGGTTAGGGTGAATGGCCTAGCCTCTTACTGGGCAGCTTGCTGGGCAGGAGGGAAAAGGAAAGGTCCCTCGGAGAAGGAGGGAGATGCGGTGGAGCCCAGGCTCTCACAGCCTACCCCTTCTATCGTCTTTCAGGTTCATGGGGGTCTGTGTGCACCAGGGGCAGCTGCACGCTCTTACGGAGGTAAGCAACTAGGTGTAGGCCAGGAAAGAGGGAAGGCACCACACCTCCAAGTGGAAGTGTCAGAGGGCTTGGTGGATTTGCGGGAAGATTAAATAGGAGCCACCCGGGACCTTGGGACCTCCTCCAGCAGGAGGCTTCCTGAACTTCCTTTGGGCACACCACATCAGAATCCTCAGCTAGTCATTCCGTGTATCCCTGAGAACAGTGCCTGACCCATAGAACTTTCTGCCGTGATGGAGATATTTTGTATCTGTGGCCACACAGGAGCCACCAGCCACAAATGGGCCTGGCTAAAGCAAGAGCTACTGTGGCGGAATATCTGATTTATTTAAATGCGCTAGCTGGCATAACTAGCTACACATCGTGCTACTGTGATGGACAGGGTGGCAGCCTAGGCTATAAGTGGGAACCTTAGGGCTGGCTCTTCTCATCTTTGTGAGTGTCACCTGGCTCATGAGTGGCAGACATAGAATACAGATTGACCCCTTGACAGTCATTCCTCTTCTCTTTTCCCTGTGTTCCCAGTATATGAATGGGGGCACCCTTGAACAGCTGCTGAGCTCCCCAGAACCCCTATCTTGGCCAGTCAGGCTCCACCTAGCACTGGACATTGCCCAAGGCCTACGGTACCTACATGCCAAAGGTGTGTTTCACCGAGACCTCACATCCAAGGTAGGCTGGCCAAGGTGGGCGGGAAAATGAAAGAGGGTTTGTGCCTATGAAGCCATGATCGGCCTGTGGATGTTGGCATGTGGGGTAGTAGATATGCTCAGATGTTGGGGTGACAGAGTGCTGGAAATTGTTAAAGAACAGGGCTAGGAGTGCTGTGAGGAACGAGGTGTCACACCGAGTGTTGAGTGACATCGCGATAATGGGGTGCGTTGGAGAACTGGGAGGGAAGGTTGAGGTGAAGACACTGGGCTTTGGGTATACACTGGGAGACCAGAGAACAGGTGATGGGTGTGTGAGGATGCCTATGTGTGTGTCAGAACTGTCTGGTCCGAAGGGAAGACCGAGGCTTCACAGCTGTCGTGGGTGACTTTGGACTAGCTGAAAAGATTCCTGTGTATAGGTGAGGTGAATGCCCTTCATACCCCAAGCCTCCCAGGGATCCCCTATACAGTGACATTTTCTGTGGGTGGGGAGAGGGCTCACCCCATCCTCTTTTCCTGGGGGGAGATATCTGAACAGGAGGTTCTGACTGCCCTGCTCCTGCAGGGAAGGGGCAAGGAAGGAGCCGTTGGCTGTGGTGGGCTCCCCGTATTGGATGGCTCCAGAGGTGTTGCGGGGAGAGCTGTATGATGAAAAGGTAAGAGCCCTTGAAGAGAGCCCTATGCAACAACAACCTACTAAATACTCAGGACCTCCCCCTTCTCCATATCCCTCACTGTCACCCTTCCCACACAAGATAACTGCCAGCTCCGCCCCCTGGCATGGCCCATCTCCCACCTCCAGGCTGACGTCTTCGCCTTTGGGATTGTCCTCTGTGAACTCATTGCCCGAGTACCTGCGGACCCTGACTACCTGCCCCGCACTGAGGTAAAGTAACCTCCACACTAGGTGCCTCATAACCATGAGGGCTCCCTGGAGGCTGACGTCCTCACAGGGGGCACAGACAGACAAGGAAGGCTAAGTTGGTAGTTCCTCCTCTGTCCCCACAGGACTTTGGCCTGGATGTGCCTGCTTTTCGAACACTGGTGGGAAATGACTGCCCACTGCCTTTCCTGCTTCTGGCCATCCACTGCTGCAGCGTAAGCTTCCCGCCCCACCCCATCCCTCCCCATCCATGAGTTGTCTTCTAAGTCCTGGGTGAGAAGGGGAGGGGAACTTCCCCTCTTCCTGAGCCTCGAGTGGAGCTGCCCTGTCTTTACCCATCAGATGGAACCCAGCACCCGTGCCCCTTTTACTGAGATCACCCAGCACCTGGAGCAGATCCTGGAGCAGCTGCCTGAGCCTGCTCCCCTCTCCAAGACGCCCCTCACTAAGGCTCCGTTGACGTACAATCAGGGTAAGTGAGCATGACCTTACCCAACAGAAGTCCTGCCTCTCCTGAGAATCAGTTGTCTGGAGGAGGCTGAGGGGATCTACTGGTTTTGGAAAGACTTGGAGTCAGGTGAAGTGGGGTAGGATGGAGAGGCTTCTCAGCCCAAGGGAGCAGAGGTAGGGAAGAAAAAGTAGAAAGGTAGCTGGGGGAGGGGCTGCTGGTCATCAGGTCGAGGCGCTTGCATAAGGACCCGAGTCCTGAAAGTCTCCTCTGACCTCTGACCTCCACCTCCAGCTCCATCATCCTATGGTTCACACAGGAGTACACATAGACATGAGTACATCTTTTTTTTTCCCCTAAGGAAAATGGTAGCTGGAAATAGCAGCCCTCCCTTCCAGAGCACCTGTAGGGCACCCTCTCTCAGCTCTTGCCCCACCACCTTCCTAGGAAATAAGGGCCTCAATCTTTGTGAGCAGATGCAGAAAACACACCTACCTTTCTTTCTACAGGGTCTGTTTCAAGAGGAGGTCCCTCTGCCACACTTCCCAGGCCAGACCCCCGGCTCTCCCGTAGCCGGTCAGACCTCTTCCTGCCACCTTCACCAGAATCACCTCCCAGTTGGGGGGACAATCTAACACGAGTCAACCCCTTCTCACTGCGGGAAGACCTCAGGGGTGGCAAGATCAAACTCCTGGACACACCCTGCAAGCCGGCCACTCCACTGCCCCTGGTACCGCCATCACCACTGACCTCTACCCAGCTGCCCTTGGTGACTACTCCAGAGACCTTGGTCCAGCCTGAGACCCCTGCCCGCCGCTGTCGCTCACTACCTTCATCCCCTGAGCTCCCCCGGCGGATGGAGACTGCACTGCCAGGTCCTGGCCCTTTCCCCGTGGGCCCCTCTGCTGAAGAAAAGATGGAATGTGAGGGCAGCAGCCCCGAGCCAGAGCCCCCAGGGCCAGCTCCCCAGCTGCCTCTGGCTGTGGCCACTGACAACTTCATCAGTACTTATTCCTCAGCCTCTCAACCCTGGTCTCCCAGATCAGGACCTCCCCTCAATAATAACCCCCCTGCTGTGGTGGTCAGTTCCCCGCAAGGATGGACTGGGGAGCCCTGGAACCGAGCACAGCATAGCCTTCCCCGGGCAGCAGCCCTGGAGCGGACAGAACCCTCGCCACCCCCATCAGCTCCTCGGGAGCCCGAGGAGGGCCTGCCCTGCCCTGGCTGCTGCCTTGGCCCCTTCAGCTTTGGCTTCCTATCCATGTGCCCCCGCCCCACCCCAGCTGTTGCCCGCTACCGCAACCTGAACTGTGAGGCGGGCAGTCTTCTCTGCCACCGAGGGCACCATGCCAAGCCACCCACACCCAGCCTGCAGCTGCCTGGGGCACGCTCTTAGCAGTGAGGCCTGCGACCTCAGGCTTCCAGCCTTGGCCTTCAGGATAGCCTGTAAGGACAGAGCGCACTTGCTGGACAATGCCAGCCCCAGATGGGCTGACTGGCTCTTCTCCCCGTCTAGGGGAGCCTCAGCATGGTCCCAATGGACAGAGCACTTCCTATCTGACCCCTGGGTTCGCCTTCCCATGGGGATCACTGAACTAGACACAGCATTGCTGACACACAAGACTAACACGTGCAAATTATTTAAAAATATTTCAATAAAACTGCCTGGCTGGCTCCGGGCCATCCATCCACTCAGCGGTGCGCCCTCCTCCCCTGACCCATCTCCAGTTTGGGAAGTTCTTAAGGGAGGCCAAGTCCACTCCCTTCCCAGGAATAGTCCAGTTTCTGGGCGACTTTGAAGCAGGCAGCAGGTTGCCAGGCCAGGATCAGCCCTTAGCTGAGCATGCCCTAGAGTAAGGGAATGCTTGAGGAATCGCAGGCCACAGGTTAAGGATGTAGGTCACAAGCTCTTGTTCCTGTGTCTGGAAAAATAAAGCAGCAGCAAGCTCTAGGTGACTGTCACTAACCCTCATCCAGTTCACCCTGTCTTCCTGCTCCCCTGTTCAGGATGTACCTGTCCCCTTTCCCTGCCTAGGCTGGCCCTACATAAGCAGACTGAGCCACTGGAGATTGTGGATTTGACAAATTTGGGAACAGATTTTCCCTCTGTCCTCTGGGCCTCTGTCCCCATGCACACAACTATGCCCGCTCTCCATCCCCCGTGCTTACCCGTTTCAGTGCAGGTGATCCCCATCAGGAAACCGGAAAGCTTCCAGCTCACAAATGCCAGGATAAGAGTCTGTACACTTTGAGAGATATCTTTGCCATGATTCATACCATTTCACTAGCTTCATACAATATGAGCTTTGAGAATAAGATACAGGTGATCTGTAAGATTGTATAAGATACGGCAAGTAGAATTGGAATACACTCTGATCCCCTCCTTTCCCCTTATTTTCTGAACTTCAGCTCAAACAGCCCTTAAGGCCATGGAAGAAAGCTTACCAAAGTCATAAAAGATGAAAACTCCACCTAAGGAGATGGGTTCACTGGCGTATGCCTTTAATGCCTTAAACCCAGGAGACAGGCAGGCCACACTACATAGTAAGACAGGACCATCTCAAAATCATGGGACATGAAGTAGCCACAGCTACTCATTCTGCTGCTCTCTGCTTGGGGCAGTTCTAGTGGCCCAGTTGGCGTGGGCTAAGCAAGCGCAGCTGCAGTTTGGGCAGCTTGTCAAGGCTTAGAGAGTTCAAGGCCAGCAGCACTTCTCACTGGCTGTGACAGATGACACAGACCTCAACCTACTAATTCCTTTTTTGTTTTGGGTTTTGTTTTGTTTTTCAAGACAGGGTTTCTCTGTGGCTTTGGAGCCTGTCCTGGAACTTGTTCTGTGGACCAGGCTGGCCTCAAACTCACAGAGATCCACCTGCCTCTGCCTCCCAAATGCTGGTATTAAAAGGCGTGTGCCACCACCGCCTGGCTGTTTTTGTTTTTGTTTTTTTGAGAAGGGGAGTCTTGCTGTGTGGCACAGGCTGGCCTTAACTCCCAGTCCTACCTCAACCTCCTAGGTGCTAGGATTACAGGAATATGCCATTGCAACTTTCTTAAGTATGTGCTAGAGACCTCCAGGCGCTGTGGGTGGAATGTGGAAGAAGAGTGCAGGTCCATGCAAAGACTTAGCAGGTCAAGGCACTAAGCCCAGTGACCCGAGAGTAGTCCCTGAGGACCACATGGCAGGAGAGAACTGACTCCTGCCTGCCACATGGCATCCCTCCTCAACACACATTTTTAAATCAAGACTATCTTAAACAGTTAAGTAGAAGAAACAAATTACAATGCTGATTTGTGGAAGAGTTTTGGGAGCGGAGTTTAGGGAAGAAATATCTATGAGAGACTGAGTTGACAATACCTCAAATTCTTCTTAGCTTGCCAATGGTTTTCTTCATTTTGGTTTGGCTGCTGGATCCAATATGACTTTGAATCATTTAGCAACTCCCCTAAGCCATTGGGCAGAGAGACCTGAGGGGATTCAGAGAGGTGTGTGAAAAGTAGTGAGAACGTGGAACAAAATGGGGACACCCTAGGAGGCTTAAGAGTTTACTTAGCAAGAGACCTCGCCCATTTAGTACACGAATTAATTGCTCCTGCATCCTTGCAGGGCTGCCAGATACAGCCCACTCTCCATTTCACCTCTCAGCTGAGTAAGAATCTGGAATGGAGTCAGTCTGAACTTCTGGTCTCAGGCAATGGAGCGTCCGGGTCTGGCCCCACTCCCCTGAGAGGCAAGGGCAGGCCAGCACGGCACACACTAAAGTGGAGAGGTTCAGGATTCACCTCTCACCAGTGCTAAGCAATAGGAGCCATGGGACAACACAAGACTGAGGATGCCAAAGCCAGTGGCTCATCTCCTGGCAAATGGTGTGACTGTCCATATCTGTCACGGGGAAGCAATGCAAACCATGGCATGTGGCAGCCGTGCACTGCTGTTCCTGACTCAATGACACACCTCCCTTTACCAGTGGCACCCACTTCAGGATATGGAGAAGGGCATGCTCACTTGATAAGGATACTTATCCGATTCTTTGGCTACGGAAGCCAGTTGGGAGGACAGAGATGTGCAGTATTTCTGGCTCTCTTGCCAACTCCTGAGAGTGTGTGAGATGTAAAAGCATCTTCCCTCATGCTGTGTCCATCCCAGCGGACAGCAGGTGTCTACAAGGCAGAAGGAATATGACAGCCACACTTGGAGTAAGGTGACTAGTTGGCCAGCTGGTTGCTAACAGTAGTCCCTCGGGTCTACTCTAATATCTTCATCAACTTTAGCTCTTCATCTTTGCAAGCTTTTTGCCTTTTCGGGAAATGTTGTACTTCTTAATGATATGGGAAGCTTATTTTAATGGAGCTAGTGTTCCTGTCCCTGGCTTCCGAAAGGTTAAAATCTGCCCTAACACTGGTCAACCTTGCCTGGGCTTCCACATTGGTCAAAGGACTTCTCATTCATTCACTCATTCATTCATTCATTCCATTTACTCCTTAACACATCTCCACTGCACATTCAAAGTTTGCCTCACTCCTCCAGCCCCTGGCAACATCTCTTGCCACAACTCCCATAAGCAGACAGACTTGGTTCCCCTTTTTCTGAAGTTATGAACACTATCCATTTCCATATTCCCACTTAAAGACACCTATTTCTGTTGATTTCCAGGTTACCTTTAAGGGATAAACATCCTCCTTAACATCCCACACTCCACTCTGCTCTTGATCCCAGTCACCTTTCCTATTTCCATTTGATCCATCAGTTCTCGCTCCAGTCACTCAGAAAGCATTCCCTATTCCTGCCCCCTCTCCTATCTACATTTTCTTATGTCTCCATCACACTTCCCCTATTGATCTGCATTGTGACTTAAAGATTTTTTGATTTGGTGTGACTTGAAGAGAGTGAGAATAAAAAACATGCTGAAAGGTCTTGAAAGTTCTGTGTGTGTGTGTGTGTGTGTGTGTGTGTGTGAGAGAGAGAGAGAGAGAGAGAGAGAGAGAGAGAGAGACAGATCTCATCATGTAGTCTAGGCTGGGCTCAAATTCCTCATCCTCTTGCCTTAGCTTCCTAAATGCTGAAGTTACGAGTGTGGTCACCATGTCTGACTCAGGATTCTTTTGTTACATTATGAGGAAGAGAAAAATAATGTCGGATTTTGCATAGAGGAGTTTTGCTCTCTCTCTCCACATCTCATGTCTGTGCACATACTGGAGTGTGTTAGCCCATCACTGCCTAGATAACTAATTAGAATGGCATGGCCTGGCTGGGACAGCATGGTCAGATTTATGGGTTTTTAGGATTTCCCCAGAAACCTGAATGTGGTAGCTTGAACAGAATGGCCCTCATAGGCGCATATATTTGAGTGTTTGGTCCCCAGTTGGTGGAACTGTTTGGGAAGGACTAGGAGGTGTGGCCTGTGGAAGAAGGTGTGTCAGTGGAGGCAGGCTTTGATAGGTTTCAGAAGACTCCTACTCCCACGTACTCTCTCTGTCTCCCACTTGAGACACAAGCTGCGAGCTCTCAGCTGTTCCTGTTGCCATGTGTTTGCTCCTCCATCATGGACTCTGACCCGCTGAAACCACAGACCCAAGGTTGCCTTGGTCTTGGTGTTTTGTCACAGCAGTAGAAAAGTCACTAGACCCCAAGTGAGTACCAGGTGAGTGGCCACCATCCAGTACCAGGTGAGTGGCCACCATCCTATCTGACCTGCCTTGGAAGGCACCTCAGAGAATCCCCACAGAAAGCTGGCTATAGCCATATTGATGCACTCTGGGTCTGATTGAGAGATCCTGCCTCAATGAATAAAGTAGACGAGCAATCAAGGATGAATCTCTGCATCGACATGTGCACACACAAATGCATGCATACATATACACATGCAACACAGACACACGAAAATGGACAAGGGGGAATTGGTGCCATTGTGAAGATTGTCCTCCATTTGGGTCGGGTGAGGGTAGTTAAGAAGAACACCCAGCTGTGGCAGTTGTCCTAAAAAGATCGGGATCTGCAGAACACAAAATGCCCAGATAGACTTGGTGGAACCATTCTGATGAGCTGATGGTGGTGGCCCCCACTGAACATGCTGGAAAAGCAGTGGGGAAGGAGTCCCTGTGGAAAACACACTGGCTGCTGCAGAGCGGAGCCTCAGTGGCACCAAGCTGTCATCTGTACAATGGGTCACACCTGATGCAGGCCTAGACTACGTTGTCAGCTGGGTTCATCCAGGGTTGAGTTTTTAATCAGTCTAGTGCACCAGAACCAGGGAACTAAAGAGTAAGTGATTGGGTAATAGACCCTGGAACCCAAGACGGATAGGGAGAGAAGCAAGGATAAGAGAGGGCTGTTGGGAAGAAAGAAAACTGGGACTCCACAGGCTGGATGCCTTGGGAAGGCTGGAGAAGTGTAGAAAGCCCTGTTGGGCTGGGTAGCTGCAACCAGAGTAGATGTCTACATCCAGCTGTGGACAGATGAGCACCATGGGATGTCAAGGTCTGAAGTGTAGCTATGGGAATGGCCAGGGACTGGAAGTCATGGAAAATAAGACGGTTAAGGAGAGGGGCTGGGAGATGGCTCAGCAGTTAATGTGTTTGTCACAAAAGCGTGAGGACTTTAGTTAAGGTACCCAGCACCCATAGGAAAAGTAGAGCTGATCACAGCCGTGCTCGAGGTTGAGTGGAGAGATTCTATCTCAGAAACTAATCTGCAATGGCACACACAGGGGTGGGGAGGGGAGAGGAAGAGAAAAGGCACCCGCGAATGCACGTTCTCACGCACGCACCCAGAACAGGAGCATACGGAAATGAGAGCCATGAGTGTGTGCCTGCAATCTTGTTGTCTCAAGTTTGGTGGAAGCATCTAGATGCCTCTGGGTCAGAAAGAGATTTGGACAATGTGATATGGGATCTATGGAGAGTACTTCCTTCCCTGCTACATGATCCACCATAGAGCTGAGTGCATCCCCCTAAACCCAGTGTTCAGCTTGGTCCTTCTCAATAACCAAGTCACGGCCCAGATCAGTCCCTGCTCCGGCTCACGGCCCCTTTCCTGAACAACTCACTGAGCTCTGGGCAGACTGGCCACTAGAGACTCCTGGATTCAGCCTGTCCCTCACAGGCCATCCGCCCCACCTCCCTGATCCCAGAGTAGATACCTGAGGAACAGGAAAGAAAGCGCCTCAGTGTGTCCCGCATGTTGACCAGCCTCTGGTTCAAGTCCCTCCTCTGCTGCTCCTCCCTTTCCAAGTTCTCCTTGGTCCTCTGTCCCTCAGACTGGCAGGCCTGTAGCTGCTGCTCCGTGACCTCATGGATCTTCTGCTTCTCCTGTAAAGCGTCCTGACTCAGGGACAGCTCTGTCCGAGACTCCTGCAGATCCCCCTCCTTCTGCTCCAGCTGAGCTGTCTTCTGCTTGAGCTGCTGCTGCAAGCTACTGTTGGTGGCTTCCAAAATCCTGGTAACCTGCTGGAATTGCTGAGACACCTGCAGATCTGGTTGGCCATAGAAGAGACTGGTTGGGTGTAGCAACGCACACCCGTATCCCTGCCTAGGGAAGGCTGAGATAGGAGGATAGCAAGTTCGAGGCCAGCCTGGGCTACATATGAAGAACCTCGGCCGAGGGAGCAGGGAGACTGAGGATACGTCTTCCAGCTGGTACTCTAAGACTATAGTATCAACCTTTTTGGCTTCTTGTAACTTCTTGTATTATGTGCTAAATTTAAGATCTAGGTGCCCAGTGTTTAAGGAACTCCTAAATGGGTAAGGATAATTTAGGAAGGCAGGTCACTCCAGGACAGACCTGGCTGGAAACCAGACCCAAAAGCCAAGGATGTTGGGACAGTGTCTTTGAGCCTTCCCCATGAAAAGCCAAGTAGGGGGAGAGAAGAGATGTTTAGAATGAGTGGGGAATGGGGTACCCATACTCACAGCGAACTCCTAAGCAGATGGCAGCCACCCCTAACATCAGACAGGCCAGGAGAAGGCCCAGCAAGAAGTATTGCAAGCCGACTGCGGGACCTTAAGGGACAGGAGTGAGAGGCAGTCAGTCCCAGGGCAAAATATACTCATTGAGAGGATGGGAAGCACTCCTAAAGTGGACTTTGTCAGTCAGGGAATAAGAGCTGGGGATCGTAACTGGTGAAAAGGATTGAGGGGGCGTTACCCGACAGAAGGAGCTAAATTTCATACAGGGGAAGGGACCTGGAGTCATGTGACTAGGGGCCATCCCAGGGACTTGTGGTACGGATTGACTCCGGGTGCAAACAATCACTAGCGGGATGAGGTAGGTTGTGGAGTGGCTGAGCTGTCGTTGAAGTCCCAAAGGCTCATTTCCAGAAAGAGTAACACAGGGCATAAGCCAGCCCACCCCTCCGGGATGAAGTTTGGCATCCCTGCCCGGCACCCGCGGGTGCGCTGCTGGTGAATGGCGCGCTGGGGCTGCGGGGGTCGGGTGGGGGTGGGGATACGCACAACGAGAAATCCACCCTACAGCGGGCGACTTCACGGGGCTCCAGGATGCAGCTTGCTGCTCTGATCTGACGCCTGCCGAACAGGGGAGCGTCCGAAGTGAGGGTGGAAAGTCCCGGTAACCTCCCTTCTCCCCAGTACCACACCATGCTGAGACCTTGGCCTGTCCTGGACTAAGTGCAGTGGCACAGTCACTCTCGGTACTTCCTCTGCCGCCCCGGGACTCATGTCTCTGTCGCCTTTGGTGGTTTTGTGGATGGACCCTGCTCAGCTCCTGCTTGCTCCTCAGAACTGCCACGCAGGGAGGTCCTTACCCGGAAGCCCTTCTTGGATTGCTTTCGCCACACTTCCCTCATATCCCTCATTTCTCTCCTGGGTCCTCCTTTCCTTATCATTTTCTCAGGGTCGTGACTCTCATTCCTCTTCCCACTCTTGTTCCCCACCCATCTCGCACCTGGCTGCCCTGATCCTGCTCCCAGTTTACCGCGAGGACCCTTCTGGGACCGTTCATCTTGCCCCTAGCTCTCAGAGAACTTGTCCTCAAGAAAGGCCCTGCCACTTTCTCCAAGACTGCTCTTCGCTCCCCAGATAAAGGCGCCTGTCATAAACACATCCCTGGGCCTCCATACCTGCTTTGTCCACTAGTGTAGAGGAAGCCAAGCCTGATGCCCCTCCTGAGACTGGAGACACTTGCACATTCTCGTAGGTGAGTTCTCCATCCTCGTAAGCCTCACAGTCTGAAGAGGAAAGGTCCCAAGAAGGAGTCAGGAATGAGGTCTGGAATGGGGGTGGAGTATGAAAGAGGGCAGCTATATGCAGGACTTACCGAGGTGATTAGAGACGCTGTTCTTCAAGGGCATCTTCACAAAGCGCAGGTCTGCGTAGGTGATGGCGTCAGCCATGGCATTTGGCACTTCTGCCAAAGGTCTTCCAGCTAAACCACTGGCCCACACCTCCCTGGCCACTCTCCTCCCTTAAGCATTGAGTTCTCTGTGACTGTAAGGCTCAGTGCTTTGCAGTATGACCCCAAACCAAAAAAGAGGAAGGCTTCTGGCAGATGGACTCAACGAAGCAGAAGAGATCCCTGGGTTGAAGCCAGAGGACCACGAAGGGCCACGGAGGTCCAAGGAGGTCCAAAACACAGGTGTTGAAGCTAGCCTGGACCTGTGTCCAGCCAGCGCCCCTCCCCACATATCCTAGACTCACTTTGGCCTCCACAGTACTTAAGATCCACACAGTCCTGTATGTTCCCTGGTTGGCCACTCCCCTCCTGATGGCCATTTACTGAGATCTATCAATGGATACTTGGGACTTCTTTGTTCTCAGCTGACCCAGGGCACGTCCCCATCTCTGCTCCAGATTGCAGCTTCATCCTCAACCATCAGTTTGCGGGTTCCTACCCTGGAACCTTAGCTCCTCCTCATTCTGGGGGTTCCAGTAGGCCCATGCATGACTCAGCAGGATTGGGTGCTTAGTTTGGTAGCTTACATAAGGCTTGTGTCTCCCATTTAGCATGGAGCACTTCTGGGGTGAGCCTAACTCCTCTCCTGCTTGCTGAACCTAGAAAGCTTTCCTGGGAATGTGACGGCTTGTTTGAGGACAAAAGCGAGGCAGGAACACGCTGGTTTTCCTCTGTGAACACCCAGATTCCCCACTTCACAGCTTTTTCCTGCTGTCTTCCTGATCACACCTGTGACCAGGTGTCTGCTTCCGTTATGCATCCTTCCCTTAACATCCTGTGGCATCCTCTGTGTCCCCACATCAGAGCCACATCAGGGATCAGTGTCCACTCGGTAGGGGTTCGGGAGCAGCTCTGGGCTGCGTTGAAGGGCTAACCTGGAGCAACCGTAGTCCACACATCCCTTCTAGGGGGGATGAAAGGAAACTGTGGGCGTGGATTTCAAGAAGGGATGCGGTGGGTTGGAGGGATAGCTCAGTGGTTAAGAATACTGGTTCCATTCCCAGCGCCCACATGGCCATTCACAATCATCTGTGACCCCTCAGTCATCAGCCCGGCACATAGTATACAGACATACATACAAGCAAAACACTCATATACATAAAAATAAAATAAAACTTAAAAAAAGGTGGCCATGGCTTCCTAGGCTGAAGTGAGGCAAAGAAACGCCCCCTTGTTGTAATTCTTCCGTTAGAGGTCCTGGGGACTGGAGGTGTAGCTCCATGGAACACTGGAGTATGATGGTCTGGCCTCACTTCCCAGCGCACACAGACACGCATACAGTCCAAACATTGCCCCATCGTTCATCCCCAGAGAAAATGGCCTCTTGGGTCAAGTGTTGGGACACACCTTCAATCTTAGAAATCAGGAGGCAGAGACAGGCACAAATGTAGCCTGAGAGCCAGAGGCCAGCCTGGTCTACACCATGAGTTCCAGGCTGGCCAGGGTTATATAGTGAGACCCTATCTCAGAGAGAGAGAGAGACAAAGACAGAGACAGAGGAAGACACACAAAGAAACAGAGACCCAGAGCGAGCAGAGGCGTTTGCAGAGGAGACCACAATGTACGAAATTGTTGTAGGTGAAGAAGGCCTGGCTGACAGTGGGGCTGAGCGGAACAGCGCCCGCAGGGCCTATCTACTGTTCTCTTACTGCAGTATAGCCTGTTAAAGGAATCCCAAAAGGCCTTCATGGTTGGGGGGGTTGGAACCGGATGAGGTATGAAGGTGAGAAAACCCCACCCCCTTTTGGGCCACATCCGCCCCGCCCCACCCCCACCAGCTGTCCTGCAGCTGCGGGTAGGAAGAAAGAAAAGGTGAAGTTCCTCACCACGTGCTACCCACTCATGTGACTGGTGGTGTTGGGCGGGGCCAGGTGATGTTGGGAGAGCTTTCTTGCAGTAAGTAGCCTGGTGGAGCCTGCCTGCCCCAGAGAAAGTGTGGCCCCTGGGGCTGAAGGGCAAACACACTGTCACCTGAGCAAAGCATCTGAGGATAGGCAGGTGCACGCATACGTCTGTGTGTGCTCGCGTGTGCACAGCCCGCCCCCCCCCCCCCCCCGCACTTTGTGGCCTGTTAGGGGTGTCTGTGGGAGGGGTGGAGTGTCTATGTCAAAGCCACCCCTGGAGAACGAAACAATGAAACACAATGCGTCCTGTGGGCTGAGGTGACTGGTGTGAGCTGTCATCTTTTGCCACGACGGGAAACGATAAGAGAGCCTCTTCAGAAAATCCATCATAGGTCAAGACAGCAGGTTTTACAAGTACTTCCTTTTTGAGATTCGTTTGTGTTTTAAGGGTTCTCTGCAACAGCTGTTAACGGTCCCTGCCTGCTTGACTAAAGTTTCCAGCACCTTCCTCCAGGCAGCATCTCGGGTCCTCCCCCAGATACTGGCAGCGGACTGGTGACTCCCTGGGGGCCTGTGGGGGCGTGCGAGAGTGAGTGGGAGGGTTCAGAGCAGCTGGTGTCGGGAATGGGTGGGGACAGTTAGGGCGCTGCATCCGTGGTACCCATGTGGGCATGGACAGGGCCCACTTTAGGACACTGGCATGGACTACAGACGGTGTCTCAGTTTCCAGAACCCCAGTACACGGGTGAACATGACCTGTAAGGCAGGGAAGATGCCCAAGCCTGGCTTCTAATTTGCACTGGAAACAGCATCAGGGACCCTCAAGCCATTACCAAGAAAGTGTCACTGAGCTGGAGCTGGGCTGAGGGGCGCAGCTCACCTGCATGGCCTTAGAGTCTTCATCGGGCGTGATCTGGGCTTTGCTCCTCCTTAGCCCTCTGGTGATGGGGAACCATCTCTTCACATTGTGCAGTCCCGTCCGTCTTAGGCCAGCTTGTAGTGCAAGGATGAGATGGGACACATCCTGAGGATGCCCAGGAGAGCAGCTGTCTGTACACCTTGATCGACTTCTAAGTGGTCTTGTGTTTTACAGAGGGGAAATTGATCGGGGGGTGCAATTCTCGCCTTTCCTGGGTGTGTATGAAAGTCTGCAGTATTGGCATTCACATTACCTTTCAAAGCTGAACACCTAGACGTCTGGGACTCAGCTCTCCACACTGCCCAGACGTCAGGAACACTGGAGATCAGACCATGACCTGAAATCGGATACCATGTGGACAAACACCACAGCCTTGCCTTGCCCTGACCGCCCCTCTGCTTACTATGGAGAATGGCTTGTCTAACTAGGACAGGGGGACCGGCGGTGAACTTGCTCTGTGTCATTTTGGTCATGCAAGTCCAGCAGACATCAGGAGACTCTGAGCTAGACTGTACCTTCAGCATCACTGTGAGTACTGGCCTCGGGGGACCCTAACCTAATAATGGTGACAGGCTAAGGACATCCCAGAAGTTCATACACTAGTCCAATGTGTGTATGCCTGTGAATATTTGACTTTACGTGAGAAAATGTAGACATGCTCAAGAAATGGCCCTTTAGATAGGCGGCCACCCTTTCTATTCTGGGAGTTCCAGTTTAATTTCAGGGAACCTCAGAGGAAGGTTAGGGGAAGAAAGACATTCTAAAAGGAGGAAGAGCCAGAGAAGCGAGAGGCAAAAGCCTCAGCCCTTGCTGGTTTTAAAGGGAAGGGGCCAATAAGCCAGGGAGTCCAGGCAGCTTTCAGAAACCAGTAAAACAAGGAAGCACATTCCTCTTGAGCCCTCACAAATCCGCCAGCCCTTCGGATACCTTGAATTCAGTCTGTCACTGTCATCAGCGTTCTGGCCTCTGGACCCACAAGGCAATGTATCTGTAGGGGCTGGAGACCGCTCAGCTGGTTAACAGCACTATGTGTTACTCTTGCTACTTGTGGTACTCAAGTTCAGTTCCCACATCTCACACCTTAGAACTGCATGTAACCCCAGCAGGAAATCCCGTGGGGTGTCCTGCGTTCTGTGGCCTCCTTAGGTTTGTGCATGCGCTCGTGCACGCGCACACACACACACACGCGCACGCACGCATCGCACGCATACTTAATTTTTTTAATTATCTTTTAAGTAAAACTTTCAGACTCGTTTTATTTTATGTGGATGTTTTGCCTGCATGTATGTGCACCGGGTGCCTGCCCGGTGCCTGAGAAGGTCAGAAGAAGGCACTGGAATTAGAATTACAGATGGTTGTGAACTGCCCCGTGGATGCTGAGAATTCAATCTGGGTCCTCTCTGCAAGAGTAGTCAGAGCTTTTAACCACTGAGCCGTCTCTCCACAACAAAAGAAGGTCATTGGGGATGGACCCATCCTTCAGAATCAGCAGCCTGCAGAATCAGGCTTGGAAATGCAGGACTTTTGATGACTGGTCAGCAGAGGGGGACACCTTTGTCCTAACTCTGACCTGGTGAAGACGGGACACTGTGCACTGCCTGGAAGGTCGGTAATAGATAACTATTGAAACCTTACAAGAGTATTGCTCAGCTGTGGGATTTCTAGTAAAGAACAAAGATGTACCATACCATTGTCCCTTCCCTTAAGAGTCAATCCAAGCTGGACGTTGGTGGAGCACACCCTTAACCCCATCACTGGGGAGGTAGATACAGGTGAACTCTGTGAGTTCAAGGTCAGCCTGGTCTATATCAGTGAGTTCTGGTACAGTCAGAGGTACAGAGAGACCCTGTATAAAATAAAAATTTAAGAAAAGTAGACAGAAAGGAAACATAACCGTTAAGCCACCAGGTTTATGCCACTTTGCTCTGGCAGCAGGAGGTAAGTTTTCTGGTATCAGCACATGACTGCAGATATGAAGATCAGCTCAGCACTGTGTCACTTTGGACAAGTTACAGCTGCTTTTCCTTTGGGCAGGGAGGAGAGAAGCAGGAGGGGACAGGGGCTCATGGAGCCCAGGCTGGCATTGAACTTGCTATGTCTCCACAGCTTACTACTTCCTAACTGTAAATAAGAGATAATCTAGAATTCCATCCAGGCTTTACTAGCAGGAGGTACTAGTGTCAGCAAAGGCCGCTAAAAATCACAGCCCAGCATTCAGTCAGAAGGGTCAC